CAAACATACAAACAAACATACAAGTGAAGCGTGTAAAAACGCCGCCATTTTAGCGTGCCTTTTATGATCTCAAGAACCTGGATGAGTTTTATTCTTTTTTGATTTATGAATATAAAGGTTAGGAAACCTACTTATTTTAATATTGAAAAATATGGAAACGTTCATATTCCCTCTATTATGTTAATCTGGGTGTATTCTCAGATCTGTTGATTTTAAGCTTTTAAGACTTTTAATTCTAGTAGCTAACTTTCAGTTTTGATGAAACCAGATTACAACTCAGCACATAAATTCTGTCCATTACTATAATGATAACAAAAAATATCATTTTTCCAAACTCCATCCGATCTTTTTCCTCAATAACGTTGAGTGAATGAGCCCGCCATGCGGGAAACGAAATGCGGCAGTGTAACTACTACACGTTCATCACGATTATTCTAAAATTATGTTGAAAAAGATTTTCCCTTTTGGCGCTTTTTGGTTAGCGAGAATTTTGAAGAAAAAAAAAACAAATATGCATATGCAAAAGTGAATAACTAAGATTTATGCCAAGTAAAAGGATCTCCCGTGACATTTTCAAATCTACTAGCCTCGCCAGATTGTATGGAGAGCCCACGTAGTCTATTATAGACCGTAATTTCGTGTTTCCAGTACACCGGGTACATGTGAGCGCGTCATGCGTGGCACATGTAACCCAATATAACCATTTTGTGCAAAATGGGTATTGATCGGATGGGAGACACGAGGGGAAGGGGGGCGGAGTGTTGCATCGCGTCGTATGCATGTTGGCACGTGGAAAGGCTATTCTATACGCGTAATTGTGTTTTAAAGTGTAGGCAATAAAAGTTTAGTACATTCCACGGTTAAATGTGCAATGTTTTCTAGCAGTTTTGTAGTGAATGTTGACACTAAAGTTGCTTGTAGATACTTTTCATAAAAAAGAAAATAAACAACACACAAACTAGAGGACAAAACCAGTATTACCCAAACTATAGTGAATTACGATTCGCGTCATCGGGGCTTTCATAGCAGGGTGGCGATCTAGAGGACCACTGCCTTAAGCCAGTATAAAAAAATAATATCCTTACGCACACTAAATCCTCCGATTGTTAGAGAAACGTAATTCATGTTTTTATTAATAATAATCAAAGCATAAAAAAGGCTTTGCGAGAGGCAGTGCTGCATGTAAATCGTTATTGGATCCCACTCAATCTCGTCAAGAATTTGCATGAAAATCGCGCTACCAGAGATTTACATGAGAATTGTGTATTCGGGCTCTAAGCTTCTATGACGTACTTCAAATAAAGGCGTAAAATGTATGTGCTGTACGTGATTGGAATTATGTCGGGGCTAACTAACGCAAGCACCAAGCATGTCAATAATGCATAATAACAAAAAGATTTTAGTTCAAAATACTCCATTAAAAAAGTTGCCAGATGACATAATATTTTATGCGACTTAGATGAGTTTAATGTGATTAGGGAATTTGTCGAATGTGTCATACAATTCAGACATTTTAGTGAGTCTTAGTATCGTGAAAATGGGGATAGAAAGGCAGCCTGATTGCATCTCAGCAAGATGCAATTGAGCCGCCCCGTCGCGATTGAGGGGAGAAGTGTTTTCCCCTGGGATAGGGCCTAATTAGGCATGTTGTCAATTCGGGGTGAACCTGGAATAACATGGTCCAGGTCCTCTCAGAGTAGGAAACTTGAGGCCGACCGTCGGGGTGGATTTTAGTGAAATCACCACATACTCCTGGCTCCTGAGCCCCCGAGGAGCAGGAGATCCGAAGGAATTTTCCACCCCGTCAACAACAAAAAGTATCATTGCGCCGTATGCTGTAGTTGGTTGCAATTAGAAATTGTAATACTGAATACGCTCAGAAACTAAAAGATGGCGAAAGGAAACGAAAAATAAATCAACATTTAAATATGGAAAGGATCATGCTGTACCACCGTTAACCAACGTTCAGTGCGGGATGGTTCAGATCCAGCTAAATGATTAGGACTGTTTGCAGCGCAAGGATTGATATTGATAGTTTATATAGACATACGAATACACTTATATGATCACCAATCTTACTAGCGTATTGTTAAATCTTCACAGGAACTGACGCGATCACATAAGAAGCACGAGATGCTTTTTGAATTACGTGACATTTCGACTAGGTTGCCCAGGCCGTGATCTCAGGTTGATGCAATCGAAACCTTCGGCAATTCAAAAAAAACGGTGATCGCATTCATATGTCTTAAAACCCAAAAGTTTAGTGATTTCTGCCAAATCTGTCAGTGTCAGTCGGGATCCTTCGCGAGCACTTTTTATAGTGTTGTCACAAGCCCTTAAATCAAATTTACTACTGACGTGTTTACCTCAATATGAGAACCTATTTAGCAAGATTTATCAGTTTTAAATAGAGTGCAATTTGGTACTAAGTGGTCTTATCTAAATGTCATTTCCTCCGTATTTCTAAGAGTTCACAACTCTTATTGACTTCATATTACGCAAAACAGTGTAGGGACGGATTGAGAATACGGAATGTCACCGGGTGATTCATTCATTCCGGGTATTCATCCGTGGGTGTCGTAAGAGCCGACTAAGGGAGCAAATTACGCAGATCAACAGCTATGCAAAGACAAGGCAAACTTCTGGTAAGCGTGGTATAGTAGACCAAAACCTTCTTTCTAAGGAGAGGCCTATGTCCAGCAGAAAACAGCAGATGAAAACAGTAACTAACTCTGGGACTCGTAAGGTCGTGGTTGCGGTTTTGAGTATTATAGCAGTACGTAGTGATATACCTAATAAGTCTCCTATACTAATTTATATGAGACTTCTTATTGACACATGATTCGTAGTTGCTAAGTACTTAAGTTTGGTTATTTGTATGACGAAGTTAACATGTATCACACATTCAAACCTTCGTCTCAAGATCCGTAAATAAACTTGATAACCCTTAAAAGTAAAAGTGGCGGCCTTCGAGCCTATTCACTTTTATAAACTTGAGAGCAATTTTAATGCCAAAGTTCATCTTGGATAATCCTGGGGGCGTTATAAACGGGCAAATTATTATGAGTTAACCCAGGAAGGGTGCGTTTATCGAATTAGAACCAAAATAATTAGATCTACTAACGTTAAAGTACGTTCATTCAACTTGTAATGAACGAAGTTGTATTCAAATCCTTACCATTGTTTTTCCGTTGATATGAAATCATATGCTATATGTCATTTGAGTAATATAATTCTTAAATTTCAAGCTACGATAGCTACTATAGTGCCTAGAAAAGAGACGTGGGTTTCGAACAAAAGTCAAGGGATTGTGAAATTAATTAAAGGTTGGGAATCTGATTTGCTTATTAAGTTGACTGATAGAGCTTGGATGTAGAAACCACAACTTTTAAGCACATGTTCTAAGCCCATGATACTTCAGGATGGCATCAAGGAAGATGCTTCGTGAGGCTTACACTGAAACCGTGGGAGAACCACGCTTCGGCACGAATGGGTTGGCTCGACCAGAGTGATACCACGGCCTCACCGAAAACCTGTGTTAAGCGATTCTTTTGTTGCCTTTCACTGAGTGAGTGAGGTTACGGGAGCCCAAATCTTCTCTCCTGCTTACTCAAGCAGGAGGGATTCCAAGGGCAGCAACGCACTTGTGACTTTTGAGTTACAGGTGACCCGTCTGCTCGTTTGCCTCTGCAAACGGTACCATAAAATAAAACCCAGGTTAGGTTCAATAGCTTTAGCTAAACACTATTGACACAGTTCTGTCTTTGTCTACTAACTATAGGGCAAAATGTATGGTTGGTCCAGAACCCTGCGGTGCAAACATCCGTAGCTCAAAAAAAAAGTAGACATGTTAGATAGTGCCTTCAAAATAAAAATGAACCCGCACTATGGTAGTTGTGGGAACTTAAATGCAAGGCTATTGTAAATAACTATTATTTAACTGTATTGAAAGAGTAGGTTGTATGTGCAGTGTTGATATTAAATATTGATTGTGCTGACAATCATAATAAATGACAGTATCTCTCACTGTCTCATTGTTATTCGGCATTTACTATAAAACCAATTAATAACTGATAATGTCAAATGATAAATAACTGGAATCATCATTTTATTTCACATTTCATAGCTAAAGGTCAATCTACATTTATTTTTAACACAATGCAAGATAAAATTAAAATGGCCTGGTTATTTGTTTTACACTATTATTCTTATTGTGGGTATATAAATAAAAGGGTAGCTTTAGTAGAGAAATAACATAGTAAAACGCAGGTAGTATACATACTTTCCTAATTATTATTATACTGTGTGTGCCAATTGTGTGCATATATATACAATAAATGGCTGTAACGACTGAAGTGTAAATATTAATTAAAAGTATTGGTATAAATTTTTTTTTTGTTCACCCCACCTTTTTTATTAATAGACTTAAATTATGTTTTCATTGAGTGCCTAATACTTTCTCAATACATATACAAAAAATAATAAAAAATAGTTAGTAATCATGAAAGACTGATACTAAATGACCTTAGTCTGAATTAGCCCAACGTAAAACTGCATAAGATTGTATTTCTTTAACAATGCAGTAAGGTTTTATGCAAACTAATAAGATACATGATGTTTTTAAGGTGGCTGTATCCATTTCCAGTGATTTATGCAATAATATTAAAATTAAAGTAGACCTAATATAGACTAAGAAATGAATTTGAAATTAACTTGCTTCATATTTCTGGCAAAATTGAGTCTTATAACAAATTTAATACAAGTAAAAATTTGTTCAATGTGTCGAACTTCTAATTAGATTTTTGGTTACCAGTATTTTTTACTATTTTCTATTTTACTGTAATTACTCGTAATTATAGACAATACAGCTGCATTACGGTGAAAAATCACCAAGATACGCCAGTGCAATAGTCATAGGTCAATAAAATTCACTATCTGAATGTCCACGCGGACAAAATTGCTGACTGCGGGCGATGATAAAACTATTCACAATCACTCACCTTTATATCTTGCTAAAGTCATATAAAACGGTAACGCCCCAATGGACGAGAGCTGACGAATGGGATCAATTGTTGATACTGGCTTCCAGGAAGCTGGCACCAGATGAACTGCCTCGCACACGCCGGGCGCACAACCTGCCGCAATCAGTAACACCACAATCAGATAAAAATACACACTAACTCACTCAACGCATCATTTCCGACTATTCTAACCAATTTCTACTGCAGCAATGTACGCACCAGCTGGCGAAAACGTGGTGACCACGGTCCGCAATACCTACTATACTATATACAGTATATACGTAAATATGGACTAAGATATTCGATATTACGTCGCTAGCTACCTTCCACTGTCTATGACGAAGCACCTCTTAATTTCACCCTCTGCGTGCACAGGAAACTCGTATTGTAACAAGAATTACGATCGGCTACGAACGAACATAAAATAAATTAAATTTCATCAAACGCAACACGTTTCCGTAGTTAAATATGACGACAGAAAATAAATGAAAAATTATACACTTTCTTATGTTTCTCGAACTGCCTTCACACCGGAAACGAGCATTTTTTTTAAACTTGAAACAGCATTTATCTCATATTTTAGAATACACGAATTTATGTTAGAAAAATATTTCATTTCTAGTTCTTTGCACGTTTATGATTAACAGAAATTTTCCTGATGATTATTGCAAGAAATATTTAAAAACACACTTCGAAATAAATGGAAATAAAATTGTCAACAGGAAGTGAGAATACTTTTAAACAATCTGCCATTGTCTATGACCGAAGATGGCTAGCCTTTTAATCTTAATATCTATAAAATCTAGAAAAAAATCTCATTTATTGACAACTATTATCGCATCATTATTTGATTAGTAAGTACTCGTCCTCAATTTGATTTGTGTACAGCTTACAATATAAGTGAATTACTTATGCCGATTTCATTTATGTGGTTAAATGAATCCTTTTTCAATTTTCATTTCTTCTTAATATAGTCTCTGGAATGAAACAGTATCTTCCACCATCAAAGAAACAAGATCATGATTGGTTGAAAAAAAAAGTTTCTTTCTGTCATTGGCTGCTTTCCAAAATGACAGCTTTTGAGCATAGACTAAACTTATTTTATATTTTACCGCAGTAAAAACAACCCTAAGTCTTTTTGACAGAAGATTGGACGGATTATGAATGAGTTTTCGTCGATGTCGTCCTAATATTCAATTTTTCTTTTATAGCTGATATTATAATAATACAGTGTAGTAGAAACTCAAAGGCTTGTTATTATTCCTAGTAACTTCGTAGGATATTGACAAAAATGGTAAAGCATGAAAAAATTAAGGTTAGGTTATGTGTAGTGTCCTTGTGAATTTATGAATTATTTTTTTAATATTATCTTTTTCAGCATTCATGTAGACAGTTATTATATAGTCCGGCACGATGGAAATGTGCATTACCGATAAACCTTAAAACAACAGTGCTCAACATTAAACCAGAACAGGTAAATGTGCAATAAAATTCTCTTGTAAGAACAGATAATGATGATGTAAATATAATATATAAATCTATATTACCATTTTATTGTTTAAAAATTACTTAACTAGATAAATTACATGAAGAAGACCCAAGATAAAATCCAAGTTTCTGTCAGGAAATGGCCATACACAATTATTTATTAAAATAATAATAATATATTCTTCAAATTCGATTCAAAAACTTGAAACCATGATTTTGGAGCCTTTCTGCTTAATAATTTAAATATTGTAGTTTTAAGTAGAACTGAAGACACCAATATCCTTATATTTTTCTCAAATAATATTTCAAATCGAACGCTTATGTTTCGCATATATAACATAAAATAGCCATATCAGTGAATGAAATAATTCATTCTTTACTTATATTCTTAAAAGAAATTTGGGTTAATAAAATCATTTATAAGTCAGGAATGGCTTGGCAGATTTTTAAGATCTTTGAATGATTAGATTTGTGTCCACCCTAAATAGCAGAATTTCATTAAAAAAAAATCCCGTAAACTATAAATCTGTTTAAAATAATCTGAAATAAAACTTGGATGAAGAGTCAATCTGTGAACTATTAGTTCATAAATATAAATTCAAAAAATAAAGTACTATACAAGTCTAGTATTTTGTGAAATGTGTCACAGCCCTGTTTTGTTGCAATCTATATTATATCTAAGTAACAATCTACATTATATTTGTTTTAGTTATATTTTATGTTAGATTACTAAAACTCAAGTAAAAAAATTGCAAAGTCATTTAGTCGTCAATGTTTGTAACTTTATAATTAAATTTAAAATAAGTTAAATATAATATACTTAAAGAAATTATAAATTATAATAAAGTAATGTAATTTTACAAATTCTTGGTTAATAACATCTAAAATGTTGTTGTAATATTTCCAGTACACAGCACTAGAATGCCGGCACTACTCTCGGAAGGGCTTTTTCTCCTCAATTATCGAAAACATCAAGGAGGACATGGCCAAGAATAAAGAGATGAAAGAAAACATCAAGAGATTCAGAGAGGAGGCTCAGAAACTAGAGAATTCTGAAGCCTTGCAGGTATGCTCCTAATACGGAAATAAGGTGTAAGATTATTAAGACCAATTAGATTCTAATTGGAGATGGGAAAGAAATGCTTATTGTAATTTAATTATTGGAATCTCATTTTGCATTATTAAAGGAGATAATAGATCTACTATTAATATTTCTAAAATTATATTTATATAGACATAGAGCTAATCAGATTTGTGAGATACTGAAAACATGGGTTTACATAATTTTTTCTTTGTTTTAATCATGGGAGTGCAAAGCTTCTGTATGTTTGGGCTAGTTCAACTGGAGTAAAAATCAGTGCGATTCTTATGTAGCTTTTCACTGAGTAACTAAGGCTTGATAGAGGTCCAAACCCCTTCTAACCAATGGGGTGGGGCATTAACAGATGGCAATGCACTTGTGTATGAGTTGAATGCAGAGGGTGATACGATAAGCGTGTTCAGCATTGCGATTGGCCCACACTGAAATCTTCATCATAGATATAGCATATATATCAGCATCCTATTCCCTTCCATTTTTATATAAATTATAGTAAATTTAAGTTTAATTTTTATTTTATCAATATATTATGTAATGTTTACAGGCAGCCAGAAGAAAGTTCCATGCGGTTGAGTCAGAAGCTTCGAAAAGTTCCGAAGTGCTGAAGGAAACCTTCGAGGGCATCAAAGGGAAGATGGAACATGTGATAGAAGAGGCTAGCAAAACTGAAATTGCTAAGAAAGCAGGTAAATACCGGTTAATTTCATTTAATAACAGATAAACAAATATTTTCACGCTGTGGGTCCATTCTATAATTCCAGCTGAGCCCAAATATCGTTTGTTGACTGTTAAATCAGTTTATCTGTACTAAAACTTGAAAAAAAATTGTAGAAACTGAACTTTTGCCTTAAACAATCTGTTGAACAAATTGTCGCCTGTCTTACCTCAAAGGCCAGCCGAGTTTCAGACGTTCATGGGCAACAGAAGTCACTTTCCATCAAGCTTACTACTCGTTTGCCCCCTGTATTATAAAAATAACTCAATCCACAGTTACAAATTGTGCCATCATTTCCTTGCCATCATCTAATTTATCATAAAATAATAAAGAGAATTTGAGAATAGTCTTTTGGGGTGCAATAATTACAACCTCACAATCTTAAACTCCAGAACAAAATATTTATTTATAATTGTTACTTATAAACCTGAGTATTTATATCACCTCAGTTTATGTTATGTTATGTAAATTTTTAGGAAGAATAACTGAAGATATATCAAAGACAGCAAAGGGTGCTGCAGAGAGTATAGCAGACACAAGCCAGAAGCTGGGACAGACCAGTGCATTCAAAACCATCTCACAAGTAAGCTTCATTACTAATAACAGATTATTGTAATGTCTCGGATAATCTTCTTCTGAAAAATGTAATCCTGACTGCATGGATGGAGTAGCGGTCGCCACGCCACTTCCCAAAGTGCTGAATGTTGTGAGTTTGATCCCCACATGGGACACACCACTTTGTGTGATCCACAAATTGTTGTTCTGAGTCTTGGTGTTCTTTGTGTCCGTTTCATGTATATTTGTAAAGTCCCCCGCAAAAGTACAGGGAAAAATCTGAAACTATACATTTGTAAGTAATTAAATCATAAAAAATATTGTCTTTATTTAAAGTGCGTATTCAATCATCGTGGTACAATGTCACTTATAAAACACAATAGGATGAGTAATAGGTTTGCAAATGAATTTCGGGAAAAACTTCGAGATTGAATTCTGGAACTATTTCTAATATGTACGTACAAATTTGTACGGAACCCTCGGTGGTGAGTCCAACTCCACTTGTCCGGATTTTTTCTCCATGAAAACCTTCCTTGTGCCTTAATTAAATATTAAAAAAAAAAACATTTTTATTTATTTAGCGACGGTGTCGGTGGCGTTATAGCTATGGCGGTGGACTGACATTCAAAGTTTTTACGCATTTTAGCTCACTAGTGATGTAAAGTCATAGTAGGATAGTTTATAAATCGGAATGATTTTGAATAATAATAATCTCGCAAATCTCACACACGGCCGTTTGAGATCAAAATAGGTAGAGCCTGTACTATAGTAACCAGGCTACTGATAATCATACGTATATATTTCTAAACTAGCTGACCCGCGCAACTTCGTCTGCGTCTCAATAGTAATAAATTTTCTCCGTTTTTGAAACATTCTTCATTGGTGCTCCGCTCCTATTGCTCTTAGCGTGATGATATAGCCTATAGCCTTCCTCGATAAATGGGCTATCTAACACTGAAAGAATTTATCAAATCGGACCAGTAGTTCTTGAGATTAGCGCGTTCAAACAAACAAACAAACAAACTCTTCAGCTTTATAATATTAGTATAGATACACACAGATGTTAAGGACAAATTACACAGATCAATTGATCGTATTCATCACAAATTATTTTTCTTGGGTGGGAATGAAACTATGGGATTACAAACCATAAGGCATGGTCCAAAACCACAGTGAACTGTGAATGACCGGTGAATTTTTATTCGTTTTTAACGTAGGTTAGGGTTACTATTTACCCATGCGTTGTTGCTAATAAGCTGTTTTCAGACGATGCACATAGACCCTATTTCGCCTATTTAACAGTAAATGTAGTAATGATTTTTCTTTCTTTTTCTTTTCTATATAAAAAAGACAACTCCCGCATTAGGAATATATCCTGTGTCGCGGGGGACTTTACAAACATACATGAAACGGACACAAAGAACACCCAGACTCAGAACAACAATTTGTAGATCACACAAAGTGTCGTCCCATGTGGGGTTTGAACCCACAACACTCGACGTAGTAGGAAGCGGCGTGGCGACCGCTTAAACCACTACGCCATCCGTGCAGTCAATTTTATTATATATATATATATATAGCTACCATTCCCCACATAATAATTTAAATAATACTAGATTTACTGTTAAATAGCGCCTAACCTACCTACCTAGCAACCCTAACCTATGTACTCAAAAATCTAATGATTTTGTCCCATGCCTATTGACCAATAGACCAATACGCACAATAAATTATGGAGTTTTGTAGATAGTCTAACACAGATAGTATCATCATCAACAGCCTATACTAGTCCACTGCTGGACATAGGCCTCTCCTTAGAAAGGAGGTTTTGGCCTACTATACCACGCTGGCCAGACGGGTTGGTAGAGGGTTTGTTTCAAGTTTTCCTTCTCTTTGCAGTGTTGTTGTCCTGCTTAGTTTGCTCCCTTAGTCGGCTCTTACGACACCTACGGGATGAATTGGGGTGGTGACAATTTGTATTCTTAATCCGTCACCACACGGACAACAGATAGTATGCATAATGTTAATGTTTGTTGTAGGCTACGGCGGTAGTGAAGGAGGAGATCTCAGCTCGAGGGCTGGAGGGGCGAGTCTACACCGCGCCACACTCTCTACGGAAACGTGTCGAGGTAAGTCCTAAGCGAGGATCTTATGTCGGTGATATCAGTGGCAAAAAGCACAGAACTGAGTAAGAAATGCCAAATACTATATTCTTTTAAATTACGTAATACTTTGTCAGTATTTACAATTGAATAAAGGTTTTCAACTTAGTTGTGAAATAATGTCGTAAATATGGACTTTGGCTTTGCAGTCATTTTGCAGTCTTTTGTTTAAATAGTAGCTATTGATAAGCTATGATGTAAAAACTGCACGGATGGCATAGTGGTTTAAGCGGTCGCCACTCCGCTTACTACTACGCTGAGTGTTATGGGTTCGATCCCCACATGGGACGACACTTTGTGTGATCCACAAATTGTTGTTCTGAGCCTGTGTGTTCTTTGTGTCCGTTTCATGTATGTTTGTAAAGTCCCCCGCGACACAGGATATACTTATTCCTAATGCGGGAGTTGTCTTTTAAAATCATTAAAAAAAAAACACATTTTAATTAACAAAATTTTATTAAAAAAAAACTGAAGCATCCGTTTAGGAGCTTTGATCCACAGACAGTTATCCATATTTTTGCGCTGGGGTTGTACAATAATTAAAGAAAGCGTAATAAACTATCCAGTGAGATACTGTACCGTGTTAGGGGATTATAAACCGCACCAGGGACTTCCTTTCTAGGGTATACCTGGTTCCCCGGCTATTAGTACCCGAGACGGCGTGCGGTTTTAGTCGGTTCGAGTCCGACATGCCACCACATGGTGGTATCCGAGGGGATTTCCGCACGGAAAAAAAAAGGGGATTATAAACCGACTACACTGTTATGTTTACCCTACAGGTGGCAGCTGACTCCCGCACGTTCACGCCGGACACGACCACCATGGGCGTGGAGCTACACAAAGACTCCAAGTTCTACCAGCAGTGGGAGAACTTCAAAAATAACAACCAATATTTTAATAAGGTATGTTAGATTGATGGCCAATCTACCAGCTGATCGTGTTTGTTATTTTATAAAAAATTTGGAGATTTACTCAGATATATAAGTAATGTTTTTACACGCTTTTTATTAGAATCCCCTGTATGTTTGTTTGTTTGTAATCGACTCTATTGGGCGTGATTTTGACTGACTTTAAACGGTCAGATTTCGTTTAAACTTTGTAGATATATCGAGGACCGATGACAATACACTAATTTAAAATATTTTAAAAAATAGTATAAAAACTAAAAAACACGCTTTTTATAGAAACCCTTAGTAAGGGTTTCTATAAAAAGCGTGTTTTTTAGTTTATCCAATCTAATTTATTATAATAATTTATTTTTGATGATGAAATTTTTTTTAATCACTAAGTTGTAAAAATAAAACATTTCCTCAAAAAACGTAATATAATTTCAACTACCGATATTTATACCGATGCCAATGGCCACTCGATGGCATCTCAATAGCGTGTCAGTGGTAGGACAGTGGCTTGGCGTGAACATAAAATAGCAGAATTGAGGCCCAGATAGACACAGATTAACATTAGGTATGTCAACTCATTTGCAGGTCCTTGACTGGAAGATAAAATACGAAGAGTCTGACAACCCCGTAGTGAAGGCATCTCGTTTCATGACCGAGAAAGTCGGCAGTCTATTCGGCAACATATTTGAGAAGACTGACCTGTCCAAAACATTAACCGAAATATGCAAGATCGACCCCAACTTTACCTCACAGAAATTCATCGAAGATTGCGCGAACGATATCATACCGAACATTCTAGAAGCCATGGTGAGAGGGGACTTGGATATACTCAAGGATTGGTGCTACGAGGGCGTGTTCAACATCCTGGCCACGCCTATCAAACAGTGCAAGCAGCTGGGCTATCGGCTCGACTCCAAGATCCTCGACATCGAACAGATAGAACTCGTCATGGGGAAGATGATGGACCAGGGCCCAGTTCTAGTCATCACATTCCAGTCGCAGCAGATCATGTGCGTCAGAGACAGTAAGAACAACGTGATCGAGGGCTCTCCGGACAAAGTGATGAGGGTGAACTACGTGTGGGTCCTCTGCAGAGACCCCCAGGAAGTGAATCCTAAGGCTGCGTGGAGACTGCTCGAGCTGTCCGCCAACAGCGTCGAACAGTTAATATAGGTGTATAATGTAGTAGAATTAAATCATTGACTTTATTGATATGGTTTTATGTGAACCTATCCAAGTTCCCCACGAGGCCGTGACACGAGACGAACCGCACCCCGGGCTCGGCCCGGGGAGAATATCTAAACTCTTGTCACGGAGCAGTTGTATCGATTGTGACGTTAAATGTAGTGAGTTAAACATTTTTATAGGACTGATGTCTGTGAAATATGAATCACTTATGAAACAGTCATGTATAGCCAAAGTGATATTCACCACCGCCACTGTAAATAGTAGACACGTTTAAGTTGTATCGCAGAAGTATAATAGTTTCGTTTTACAATTGGGTACTGCACTGTACGGAAAACTAGAGATTTATTTTTAAGTTTTTATTATTATTCGCCTGCCTTACGAGCGTTTAGGGTAATATTTAGATAATTGTATGTTTACCTGTCGAACACTAAACAATATTTACAGCAATAATAGTTTTGATATTCATTAATTAATGAAATTGCCGGACACTACGCGGTATTGGTTAAATATATTGAATCCAATAAAATGGTAGTTTTCTCTGATGTAATAAGTTCAAGAATGTAACATGAAATATGCATTACATTGAATGTTGTAAGGAAAGGTTTTTGAGTTACATTTCGTTTTGAGTCATAGTTTATGTTTATTTTGTATTGCTATTAGTTCGTTTCGTACGATTTATTATTTATTTTAATAAATTGTTTTATTTTATTTTGTTTTTTTAATTATTTATTATGTAAATGTAATGGGATTTTAAGAATATTACCGATCAACGACTGATTGTGGAACCATAAGCATTCTAGATGTAGAATAATCTTTCCCGGGGGATGTTTTATTATCATTGTTACTTTTGTCACGGTTACTCGTTGATGGTGATATTACAGTATCTTCGATGTACATAGGTTAAATTAGAAATTTTAAAAATATTCATACGTTCATTCGGCAAAGTCACTGAATGAAAGTAAATAGTCCTAGACACGGATATAAAAAAAACTAAACGCTTCTGCCCGTTCACAATACAGTTAAAATCTTCATGGGCAAACTTTCTTCATAAACTGAACGATGGGAAAGATGATGGACCAGGGCCCAGTTCTAGTCATCACATTCCAGTCGCAGCAGATCATGTGTATCAGACAGTAAGGACAACGTGATCGAGGACTCCCCGGACAAAGGATGGGGTTTTTAATGTACTTAGCGTTAACAGAATGTATATTCAGGTAAGTTTATTGAATTTATAATAACACACTTCTTGGTTATAAATTACCTAACCATTTACATAAGTAAAAAATAATAATCTATACTAATATTATAAAGCTGAAGAGTTTGTTTGTTTGTTTGTTTGTTTGTTTGTTTGAACGCGCTAATCTCAGGAACTACTGGTCCGATTTGAAAAAATCTTTCAGTGTTAGATAGCCCATTTATCGAGGAAGGCTATAGGCTATATATCATCACGCTAAGACCAATAGTACCTGAGCACCAATGAAGAATGTTTCAAAAACGGAGAAAATGTATTACTATTGAGAGACGAAGACGAAGTTGCGCGGGTCAGCTAGTAAAGTATAAAAGATACAAAACTTAAATTTTTCTTTAACAGAGTATTTTAAAATTAGTGTTTATTTTCTAGCTCACCTGCTGGAAAGTACCATTGAAAAAGTCCAAGCCTACCTGAAATAAAGCTATTCACTGTACTCTCATATGTTGCAGGTTTATAAGTCTCTGAGAAAATAGACGCAGGCACTTATTTAATACTGGCGACGCGGACCATTAAGGCGCTGAGCTTTACGAGCTATTATATTTTACTTTTACAGTTTAATATGTATGTATTTAGAATCCCACACTCCAGTAGTTATAGTTTCATTAAATTATCAATCAAAATATTTTTCCTTTTTTTCAAGTACCGATATTTTATAGAAGAACTAGCTGACCCGGCAAATTATAATAATAAATAATAATAATAATATTCTACCACATACACACAACGCCATCTAGTCCCAAACTAAGCAGAGCTTGTACTATGGGTACTAGACAACTGATATAAATACATATATACTTTTTTTTTTTTTGTAAATACATACACATTATACATAGAAACACCCAGACCAAATCAAACATCAAATGTTCATGCACACAAATGTTTGACTTGAGCGGGAATCGAACCCGCGACCTTTGGAATAGCAGTCCGTTACACAAACCACTCCGCCATCCGGTATTATTATATATTTAGGGGTATACCTTTATCATTTGGGGTATGAAAGATGTTGACCAATTCTCAGACCTACTTGATATGCACGATATGAATTTTATAGATTAGAATTGTTCTTCGCTTGCTGCTTACTTGTAAAGCTTATTTAGCTCTATAGTTCCCTTCTCTGCTACCTTACCTGTTCTTTGATCATCTTCTTTATGTACTATCGCCGTGAATATTGGTTGACAAGGAACAATAATTACTTCACACACCTCACACACCGCAGTCCGGTCCCAAACTAGGCACAGCCTGTACTATGGTGACCAGTCTGCTGATAAACATACTTAAATATTTATAAATACATACATATTGTAGATAAATTATACCTTATTTGTTACACCAATATTTGTCCTGGGTGGAAATCGAACCCACGTTTCTGGCTTAGCAGTGAGGGTCACTAATCACTAGACCAACAGGCCCGTCGAAAGGAATGGAGGGGGGCTGGCTTCCTGATTGAAAATATTATCTTTTAGACAAGGTGTAAAGTGCTTTGGGACCAACGAGAAACAAATGACCGTACTTTACATCTTTATGATTCTTAAGATGTCTCCCCTATCTTAAATCACAAATGCACCTTGCACCTACCGACTATTACTTTTTCCAAAATTTAGACAACTTTTTAGTGGGTAAAAAATTCAATTCCCGAGAGGCAGCACAAAATGCCTTTGAAGAGTTTATTGCCTCCCGTCCAGCTGATTTTTACAAGAATCAATAAACTGCCAATGCGTTGGCAAAGGTGCGTCGATTGCATGGGTGATTACTTCGAATAACAGAAATAAAAAAGTTTGAAAAAATAAGTACTTTCACTTATTGCATACAAAACGGCAATTTCATAGGTAAAGACCTATTATTTTATTTACCTACTTTGTAGGTTTGATTGGTAGGTATACGGGTTATACCCATACTGCAACTTTCAAGTACAAAGGGTCCCTGAGCTAATAATAAGGTACGAGTATATAAGGATAATTTTCTGACTACGGAACCGCCAATTTAAGGGGGGAGGTGATAATAAAACAGAACATTAAATACACAATTATATTGGAGGCACAATGAACAGGCGGACGTCCGCCGTACAATACAATATATTTACAAATACAATTAGTGCTACTGCGTAATACCGTGAGATGTTACACCGAATGCTGATGACGCGCTGACTAGGCTACCAAACCTTCATACAAATACTACCGTTCATTCGCCGCAAGGAAATTGTGACGTCACTCGGCTTAGTAATATAGTCTGTGTATCTGACGTCACTGTGTACTTACAGCGAATGACGTTTAGTGTAATACTTAAAACAAAAATAAAAATATTAGCGTTTGGAATGCATTCTGGAATTGCTAAAAATGAGGTTTGTGAAAATTAATGTTTTATATTTATTGTTATTAAGTTAAATGGGTATATTCTGGACGACGTATTAGTAATTATTGATGATAATAATTTTTATATTAATTTTCACAAACCAGTTCTTAAAATAAAAACTAAAACTAATTTGTATTAGAATTCTTATTGTGACTTAAAATAATGTGTACATAATTATATTATGCCTAAGACATTAAAATTATTCGCCAAAAAGCTCAATCACATAATAAAAAACTACTCAGTGTTGCATGTGTAAAATTTATTAAAAACTTTAGTTGTGTTGCCATACTGTTTCTAACACTTAGTTTTTAAAATCGACGGATTATTTTTTTATTTTATAAACGCTTAACGATTTGAAATAAACTTCTCTATGTTGGAATACAAATTAAACGTTTATAAATATTTTTTCGTTCTTGTTACTTCGTTTAAAGTTTACAATGCTTTTAAAATTATTATAAATACGAACAATTTGCAATAAAATACGATATATTAAATAGGCGTTTGAATAGGCGTCGCAGATCACAAGTGTTACAAACAACTACAAAATTATGTGCATTTTCATTTATTAATAACATTGGTTACGTTTATTAAATAGACATTGTAATTAATACTTTCAAAACTTTTTATGTATATGTTTTATGTATATACTGAAGGACATTTTTTTTATTACTATCAAATTGATTAAAAAAAACACTCCCTTTTCCTGTAAGCGATTACTTATGATTGGTTCTTTATAGGGAAACGTGGTGGAATAACTATTAGGTTGAAACACACATAGTTTTGAAGATTTACACAAATAATTTAAACGATGTAATATTAGTATTGTGTTTATATAAACAATGTTTTAGTGTATGTAATCTTGGAAACTTCAGTGCACTTAGAAAGTACCGAGTTGAGGAATGTCTGTAAAGGGTTGCCACTCTTATTGAAATACTGTCACTGCAGACATATTTTTGTGTTAAAATTATGAAATTGGGAAGTATTTTGAAAATGTTTTCTGTAAAAGATTGCAACGGTGGTGTCGGGTGTGTTCAGTCGACGAGCCACTGCAGCAGGCTGGTGTCGAGGCCGCCGGTGGAGATGAGCCGCGAGTCGTCGGGCAGGAAGCGCACGCACGTCACGTGGGACGAGTGCCCGCCGTACTGGTGGCACAGCGACTGCGGAACCACATCACACTGTCTTATATACCTCCAACACTCAAGTTTCTCATCCCTTTCTTGTATAATAATAATGTTTAATTCTCCCTCATTACAATATAAACAGATGTACAATGTTGTCATAACAATGAATCCCCATCCTATCGACACAAATGGGCGAGACGGGATGTCGGACTCGCACTGACTGAAACCATACGATGTTTCGTTACCAGATCACAGAGCCGACATCTAGTATCCTAGTCAAGAAATCCCTGCTAACCCCGGCATACTGGGTCGCTTGTAGAACAAGACAAACCCACTGTCGTACGTGACGGGTCCTGTCCCCCCCCCCCCAATTCTGCAACGAATATCAGATCCATCACCCTCTGGCAAGAGTTTAAGGAAGAAATGTATCGTTTGTCAATCTCTAGTATCTAGAACGTCTTCTGCGATACGAAAGTGTAGGTACTCCCTCGTGCTCTTTTCACCTCCTAACAAAATAAGGTGGCAAAGGAGACTCTCTCTTTACCATGGAAAATATTATCGCCAAAAGAATGATTAACACAACATTAGTTTTATTTATTTAGTTTAAAAAATATGGTTAGCCTTACTTAAACGTTCAGTATTACATATTTAAGTTAACCATTAAAACGCCCTAATTAATAAACTTAAAACAATTACAATGCAAAACAGAATTTACTAAAACATTTAATATTCATCTTGATATATTAATAATGTGGAGAAAAAGTTGTTTAGCATTAAATAGTAAAAAAAGCTTATAATAAATATTCACCTTAGGCTGTGTGACAGGGTAGGCGTACAATTTGACTTTCCCGAAGTCGTCGCCGGTGGCCGCGAGGCGACCGTCGTTGGACCTAACGATAATTACACTTATTCAATAATCCATAGCAAAAGAATAGAGCTCCAATTCTGCTATTTTAATATTGTATCAATGGACTGTCGATGGATTGTCGACGAAATTGTTTTGCACTTTTCGTATTCTGCTAACTAACTGTAAGACCAATAGTCTCCCGATGACTTGTCACTGAACTGCCACTGATACAAATGTCGTCGATGTCATTGTAATAGTTTAATGGTACATTTCAAATTTGTAAGTAAATCTATATCATCATCATCACGATATCTCTGGAACCATTAGAGCTAAAGACTTGAAATCTAGTAGGAATATTCTTTTCAACGAGTAGAGGTCAGCTAAGAACGGATTTTACGAAATTCCACCCCAAGAGGGCTGTGCGGGGGCGTTGAAAATTGAAAAATTTTTTTGGTAAAACAACGTTTGCAGGGTCAGTTAGTAATATATAAAATTTACCAGATTGCTATATTTTTTATATGATTTGATTTGATGTTAACATAAAATAGCAGAATAAAGCCCAGGTAACCTCTCTCACTCGGTGAAAAGCAAGGAAATAACTGCTTAACACCGGCTTTCTGTGAAGTTTCAACACCTGGATAAAACGTCCTGTCCTGTCCTTTTGTGAGAGTGTTTTTGCATTTAATGATCAGATGAACGTAGCGCATAAAATAGGAACAAAATAAAAATTATTTTTTGATAAATTAGAAATTAATAATAATAATAATAATTTACATGTTACATCTCACACACGGCCGTCTGATCCCAAACTAGGCAGAGCCTGTACTATGGTAACCAAACAGCTGATAAATATATATTTCTAAATACATTCATATTAAAGATAAATTACACCCAGACACAGAATAAATAATGGCGCTCATCACACAAAATTCACCCCGGATGGGAATCGAACCCACAACCTCCGGCATAGCAGCCAGGGTCACTAATCACAAGACCAAGATGCTCACAGGAAATTTATACCAGCTTCCTCTCTTACAGTATATTCTCGAAGGTTGATATCAGATCTGACACATGACGGGGTGGTTTGGGCCACCATGTCTGTGGAAAGGTCTGGCTACGAGTGTAGGTACCTGGTGCAAGAGTTGATGTCAGTGCCGTCAGCGTTCTCGGGCCACACGCCGATAGTTTGGAAACTGATGGGGCAAGTGTTTGTGGACCACGTCACGTCCCGGAGCTGAGTTGGAGACGGGATCTGGCGGCATGTTGTGGCGTTCCCTGGGAATATTTCATTAATTTTAAATAAAATTTAATATAAAAAATAAGTTATGGGTTACGGACAGAAATGTACTTGACTAGGACAGTTGCCCCAGGTGACAATTGACGATTGATCAATGGTTAAAATGTGCTTCAATTTTGAGCCAGTTTAAAAAAAAAATTAAGACAAAAAGACAACTCCCGCATTAGGAATATATTCCTGTATCGCAGGGGACGTTACAAACATACATGAAACGGACATAAAGAACACCCAGACTCAGAACAACAATTTGTAGATCACACAAAGTGTTGTCCCATGTGGGGATTAAACCCACAATACTCAGCGCAATAGCAAGTGGCGAGGTGACCGCTTGAACCACTACACCATCCGTGCAACTATTCAATAATAAGTTGTGTGGTTCATGACACCGTCGCTTATCCCCTAGGTCAAGGGATCTCATCATGCCCATATGTTTTTAACACTAATAGAAGTTAAAAATAAATAGGAACCTACTACTGAAAGGCACTTACAGTACAAAAGCTCATAATCGCCAGAATTGCTTCGTATGTACTGGCTATCTTCAGACCAGTCCAAGTGGGTGATGTAGCTCGAGTGACCCTGGACAGCAAACACACAATATTATAGACCCCCTAATTAAAGACTCGTACACAATATCGCCGAGCAGGCGTGCTAACGTGCAGTATAGCTGGGGATTGCATTAGCTAGCCGCATTGCTGAAGTACCTGTCTACGGAGGGATGTATTATAAAATGTGTCAAAATGTTTATTTGGTCCATAAAGCATCATACAAATTGAAATATTAAGCACTGTACACACTGCAGTTTAAAGGTATTTTTCTACGTAAGAGACTTATTCAAAAACAAAAAACGAAATAATAAAAATGGTTAAATGGAAAGATTAATTAAATCGGCGGGTTTTCTTTTATTTAGTTTTTGGTCTATGCAGATACTATGCCTAAAAGCCTACAGAGCTAAAGAGAAAGCATAAATCTAAAATGTTGGTTTAAAAAAATGTAAATAGGATAAAAACTGGTAATTCAACTAAATTAATCATCTTGTCCTGACATGTTTAATAATGGAATTGCGAGACGTTCCAACTAGGCAATCTGTACGAAACGTCGGACAATTCAAAGGTATGTATGTCTATTACGTTAATTCTCAATAAAATTATATATCATCGAAAGACATAGTTTAAAAGTTTTGACATATTGTAGAATGCAATCCACAAGTGATATCAAGCCTATATACAACAGCACAACACTACTATAAGTCGTATACATAAACTGCCACTAAAGCATGCAACGTTACAATGTAGTATTTAGTTTTACCCTTCTACGTTTTTTCTCCGTGCACTATGAAAGACGTGAAATTGAGTCAATGTCAGAATATCACATCACATTCTAAATAAGATAATAGTGACGTATTAAAGATGTTTTAACGAATGTGTGAAACAGAGACATTTGGACATACTTATTCAAACAAACCACACACATTCCAAAATTAAATATATTAGTATACAGAAAGATTAGAAAATGCACCTTATATCGACCGGGTAAAGATCAAAATGATCTGACAATTTTGACTAAGCAAATCATATTATTTTTGTTGTTGCACTTGCCCAATAAACTAACAACCAATGGTAACCGACTAATCATAAACATTCAATCCATCCAATAGTAGGAAAAACCCTCCTTTCTAAGGTCCATTGGTGGACTAGTAATGGCTGTTGATGAATTATAAAAATCTATGTTTTTTTTTTATCCACAACTAAACCTTTATGATTTCAAAACAACTAAAAATTTAGACAACAGATTGTTTTCAAAACTATCACTGTGTAAGTTGATTCCGTTTATGTATTTCCATTTAAATACCATAGCTAAGACTAAACACAGACTTCGAGAGTACTGAGATCTGTGTTCAGCAATGTAAATTTAGAATTTTAAAGTTTGTTTTTGTAATTGTAACTTTTGCTTAATCAGATAATTATAGTTCCAATTCACATCCAATTCATATAATTTTGATTTGAATTGTTATGAGCATGATCCTTTTACATGTTTCTAAGTGTGTACTAAGAGGCGACTGAGGGCGACTAACAAAGTACGCAGGACAACCGCACTGCAGTAAGTAAAACTTGAAACAAACCCTCTACCAACCCGTCTGGCCAGCGTGGTACAGTAGGCCAAAACCTGCTTTCTAAGGAGAGGCCTAGGTCCAGCAGTGGACTTTTAAAGGCTGTGGTATTAATATCTATACTAATATTATAAAGCTGAAGAGTTTGTTTGTTTGTTTGAACACGCTAATCTCAGGAACTACTGTTTCGATTTGAAAAATTCTTTCAGTGTTAGATAGCCCATTTATCGAGGAAGGCTATAGGCTATATATCATCACGCTAAGACCAATAGGAGCGGAGCACCAATGAAGAATGTTTCGAAAACGGAGAAAATTTATTACTATTGAGAGACGCAGACGAAGTTGCGCGGGTCAGCTAGTTTAAAATAATTATGTATAGGTGTGGTATATTTATTAACATTCTGGTTATATACCTACCTACCTATCTATATGGTGTTGTATAGTTTTTGAAGATTATGTGTGAGGTATTTGAAGTCATTTATTATTGTTTTTGATGCATAGTTAGGTATATAGACAAAGGTCTGCTTATGGGAGATGTCTAATGTTTGATGCTATTATCTGGACGTAAGAGGCACCTTCTACGTGTTTATTTAACCGCATACGAGAACAATGTGTCTTTATTTATTATAACAGGAAAAGTAAAAGCGTTGTCTGGATGAGTGAATGAATTTAACACCAAAAATGTAATAGAAATTTTAATTGGTATATAAAAATACTGAAATCGGGACCGTAAAATTCACATCATCACATCAACAGCCTTTAATAGTCCACTGTTGGATATAAGCATCTCCTTAGAAAGGAGATTTTGGCCTACTATACCACGCTGGCTTGGTATAGGGTTAGTGTCAAGTTTTCCTTCTCTCTGCAGTGCGTACTCTCTGCGTACTATACTCCCTTAGTCGGCTCTTACAACACCCACGGGATGAATAGGGGTGGTGACATTCTGTATTCTTAATTCGTCACCACACGGTAATTAGTAAGAAGTAATTCAATTTGAAATGTATTTTATTTATTACTATAGAGATAAATTGTATAGGCCGCCTTCAGAGATGTTTAATAGTTATTTTAGATGATATTACTAATTTCATACATTGAAAATGTGTGTACTTTTAGTTATGATCACACTTTTCTGAGTGCGTCGATTATTATCAATTTCCTTTTAAACGTCAATTTTTTAACTTTAAAATCACAGTTTTAACTGTAACGAATGTTGTCAAAGTTAAGTATCGTTTTTCAATATATAGGGTGTAATGGACAACGTATCGAGAACCGTAATAGTAGATTCAGATTATTATCATGGGAGCTAAAGAGTTGATTTTATTTTAATAGAAAATCAAAACACCATTTTTTTTTACTTATGAGTTAACAGATATTTTTTTGGAGATAATCTATAAAAACTACACTGAAACTACACAACTACGCAACAATACTGGTATACTGCTTTTAATAGCTTCGTTTTAATCACAAAGCTTTGTATTTTTTATGATAAATACACTCACACCTATATCCTCGAAGGGGTTAGCAGAGGCGTGTAAAAACATCTGCATTTTGTTGATTACAGTTTTATCTAACACACGTAATAGTGGACAAGTCTATAATTGCCGTCAACCAGTTGTTGTTTTAAGATGATCGTAATAAATCCTTAGAGAGATTTTTGTACAAGTGTTTCGTTATACCGTTCCTTACACCCTGTAGATTATTTATGTATGGATGTAAAGTGATGAAGGCATGTACAGACCAGACACTTCCCCTGGCGCGAGTATCTGGCGCCGTCCTGCTCGACGCGGTACACGTAGATGAAGTTGTCGCGCGAGCCCAGCGCCACCAGCTGGTTGTCGGGCGAGTACTGGATCGTCTGGATCGGCTCCGTGCTAAGGACATACCAGCAACATCTCTAATTACTGTTGAATTGTTTCAATTTTTTACTTACTTTATTGACATAATGGTTCGAATTAATTTTATAATGTTTATGAATGTAACCTGTTTGCGGGGAACTGATCTTTACTTTGATAATCTTAAGGATCTAGTCGGTACATAAATATTGAGTATGATATTTTCATTAGTTTTTATTCAGGGTTACAGATCAAGTTAGGGAGAGTGGGTTTAGGAACCCTGGAGATGGCTCAAAGCTAAGTAGACCCAAGTGTCTGTTTCCATTTGACATGTAATTAGACGTGAAGTCGATTTTTAAAATTTCTAATTAAGTTATGTTATTTAAAAGTAATTTTTGCCTGCCTGACTTCAGAACGCAACTATTGTTAATTCACTTAGTAGCAAGTTTTTAAATTTAACGAAATTATTAATGAATATCAATATAAAGAGGTGTAAAAGGAGTCAACGGTTACCCATCTTGGTGTTGCGCCAGCTGCTCCCTGGTCTGGGGGTCGAACACGAGCCACTTCCCGTTGAGGCAGCCCACGGCGATGACGGAGCCGTCGCGGGACCACGCACAGCACTGCGCACGCTCCTGCACACACACACACACACATACATACACACATATTTCTCACTTTCTTAATTTATCCTGTACCCGTTTTCGATTCGGTTAAAGCTACTAACAATCGATTGTATCTAAATATATTATATTAATGAAATAATATTAAAATGTCGTGATTTTGTGATAAGGGCTGGAAGTGTGTAACAAGAGGCCGAAATGAACGCGCAGTGCTAGAGTTTTAATTGGTAGGTGAGATGTTGATGTGATATTTTATATATGAACCTATTGTGCGACTCCCTCGATTTTGTCATAAACATTTTAAATAACTAATAAATATTTTTATATAACATTACTTTAGTAGAGAGAATGTATACATATATTTAATGAAGGTAAAACTAAAGTATGAACCTCAATATCCTTGCTCCAAACGGTGGAGTGACTCAATCCATCCCACAGTTGGAGAAGCCTGTCCCAGCCGGCAGACACAAACTGTGGAAGGGTCGGATGAGTCGCCAAACCCCATAGCTCATCCACGTGACCTGTAAAGCATATAGTTTATTTTTTCTTCGATCATGTAATGAATCTCTTCGGTCTTAAATGAAGACATTATTCCTTTATCATACAGTATTTATTGACACCGACTTCGAACAGCTCAGAAGGTATCTATTGCTATTATAATGTTACCTGTCATATCGAGTCGAACTTTTTTTATTAGATTGTAATTATTGTTTCATTTTTAGTGTCCTCAGTGAATATTGTTTGAAGTCGGTTCAACTTTTGTAAAGAAATGATATATGGTGAGGTGTGAGCGTTACCGAGCACGGCGGGCGCGAAGCCGAGCTGCAGGTCGCCGTGCAGCACGCAGTTGCGCGTCGTGCCCACGAACAGCTGCGCGCCGCGCCCCTCCGCCACCGCGCGCACGCCCCCGTAGTGGCCCTCGATCTGACCACCGACACCACACTCCTTCGTTATTCACTTTCACTAATATTACGATGCGAGTGTCTTCGGTCGATTTTACACTCAGAGAATTAACATACGAACCTAAGATAATGTTTGTTTATAAGGAGACCTCAAATTGTACCTTGTGGCACGCCATACGTTAAAATATAAATTTCTCTAATGTTCACTAGTTCGTATGTACCATTTGAAAAACAAATTTAAATAATGTCAAACATAGGTATATATGCTATATAAATAACCCAACTTTGAGAATTTTCTTAACAGTTATTCGTGAGCAATACAGTCAAACGCTTGTGTCAGATCCATTAATAATAATAGATCTGTATATTTCATTTCCACAAATAATATTCTTGTATTACTTATATATAATATACATGTACTAAAGTTGATAAATGTTTGAAAAAAAAAATCATTTCTAGGTGATTTAGAGTCTGGTGTCTAAACTAGACCAAGGCCTGTATTTCAGAACTTCATTAAGTATGTTATTGTAATTATTATCTACGTACCACGTTCTCCTGGCCTGCGGCATTCATTTCAGGGTCGAACAGTACTATGCGACCGTCCTTGCCACCGCCGCTAACGATTTGGCCCTCTTTTAGGCAACACAGACTAAAAATGGAGCCGTCATGAACGCCACGCACCAGCTTCAAGATAGTGTTGGTGCCTCGCCCCCACACTATTATATTGCCGTTTGAATCGCCAGACAATACGTCTCCTGTAAATTATATTTTTAATTTAACCACAAATATTAACATTAGAATGAAGTCAATTCTTTCCGTGACGAAGCAACAATTTAATTGGAATATTCAAAGTAGAAGTTGACTACAGAAGAATGGATTAACTGCAAGAAAGAGGATATAGCTATGAAGGCAGCATAGAGTGAAAGCAAAAATGATAAGGTAAAATGAATGAAAAAGAAACATTTCCCTAGCCGCAAATAAAATTTGGGTGTCAAATTCGTTTGCACCAGGGACTTCCTTTCTAGGGTATACCTGGTTCCCCGGCTATTAGTACCCGAGACGGCGTGCGGTTTTAGTCGGTTCGAGCCCGACATGCTACCGATAGATGGTATCCGAGGGGATTTCCGCACGGAAATAAAAGGGTGTCAAATTCGTAACAAGGTGAACACTGACAACTGTCACCTCGAATCCAAACAAATAACACTTTTAACAATACTCATATGATTAAACTTACCATTATGATTGAACCCAAGACACGTAACATACTTGGGTTTATCCCTGGTTTCGAACACACCCATCCGTTTGTACAGCATGTTGGTTTGGTCTAGAGTCCAGAAAGCGATGTGGCTCTTACCACACGTTACTATCTGGTTGCGATCCAGGGGATGGAATTCTGCTGCCACAACCGTGTCTACTGAACACTGGAATATGAAGATAACTATTTTTTTTGAACGGTATCTTAACGTGATACTCTTAAGGCCAATTCTCGTTATAAAAGTTCAGTCAAAATTCTGTTCCTATAAACTCTTAATGTCGCAAATAACCGAAAATACCTATTATGACAGTTGTGAGATCGAGAGTTGATCGGAATTGAATTGTGACCGATCTTTTATTACGCGAATTGGCCTTCTGGTATTTGTCCTAAATTTCACCCTTGTTGTAAAATAATATGCAGTAATATTTCAAAAGATCTACAGTAGGCGATAGTCCTAAGATACTTAAGTATGGTTCGCGAATACTTTTTATAATATAAGGTCTTTACCTATGAAATTGCCGTTTTGTATGCAATAAGTGAAAGTACTTATTTTTTTATACTTTTTTATTTCTGTTATTCGAAGTAATCACCCATGCAATCGACGCATCTTTGCCAACGCATTGGCAGTTTATTGATGCCCTTCTTGTAAAAATCAGCTGGACGGTAGGCAACAAACTCTTCAAAGGCACTTGTACTGCCTCTCGGGAATTGAATTTTTTACCCACTAAAAAGTTGTCTAAATTTTGGAAAAAGTAATAGTCGGTAGGTGCAAATAAGTACTTTCACTTATTGCATACAAAATGGCAATTTCATAGGTAAAGACCTACTATTTTTATGTTATAATAAAGTAAACAAATTGAAAATGGTGCACACGAGAATTCGGTGTCTCTGAATACCCCTCAATATCGAATAATTTATCTGGTATATCTTACAAAAGTTAAATAAACAATACTAAACTTCTGCCACAAAAACCTACTCACCTTGGTCTCAGCAATGCAGTGTCCTTTATCAGGTCTCTGCCACTCCCAGACGGAGATGGTGTGGTCCGGCCCGTCGTCCACACAAGCAAGTAAGGCGCCGCCATCGGCACGAGAGAACGTGAGACACGCCACGGCTCGTTCCATGTGTCCAGCGCCAATCACGGCCAGCGTCGCCAGAGACACTGAGTTCCAAACGCGCACGTGCGGCTGGAAAAACAAACTCAGATGAAATACCGACTGAGACTACGATTATTGTCAATAGCGAAATAAATACTATATACATCTTTTATCTTAATATATAATTCTTCTGTACATGTTTGTAACCTAAGTCCTCCTTAACGGCTAGACTGATTTTTATGAAATTTTGTGTGTATATTTCAATGGGTTCCTGGATGGTTTAAAAAGATAACTGGACCTGGTAGGTGGCGCAGCTGTCGGTATGTCGCATAATTTGTCAACTAAGCGGTACTAAGTTCGCCGGGTCAGCTAGCAAGATACTAAATCTAAAGAGTAAGTTTTTTCTTGGCGAGATTTTGAAAAATGCTTTGAATGAAGGATGTAAATATGTACCCTGGCATCAAGTCGATCATGTCCAGCGCACTGTCCACTAGCTATAATCAGCTTGTTTGGATGTACAGCTATACACTTGACGTCATCAGTGTGTCCGGTGTAGTGCCGTTGACATTGCTCCTCAACGTTGAACAACACAACGACGGCTGCCACGAAATATACTATCTCTCCCGTTGGCAGCAGGTACAGGTTACTGCGACAATCTTTGCCCCTGGAACAAAATGCAATATTGACTTAAATATGCAAAACATCAACGCGTTTCTAGTCTAGGTCCAAATAATTCTTTTTCTTTGTCTTTCTTTGTTAAAAAGACAACTCCCGCATTAGGAATATATTCTGTGTCGCGGGGCTTTTGCAAACATACATGAAACGAACACAAAAAACACCCAGACTAAGAACAACAATTTGTGGATCGCACAAAGTGTCGTCCTATGTGGGGATCGGATCCACAACACTTAGCATAGTAGTAAGCGGGGTGGCGACCGCTTAAACCACTACGCCATCCGTGCAGTCATGCCAATTATCCTTCATGATTAAATAGCTCTAATTATGTAGGCATATTAGGCGTAGAAATTAAATTAGATGTATTTAGTGGTCACAACTGTACTATTCTGTCAATGTAACAAGTTTTCGAGAGAGAAGAAGACAGAGTGCTTCATCAATTTATATTTTGACGAAGTCTTGTTTACCAGATTCTGATCTAGTAGTTTTCCCTTGACCTAAAGTCAAATGTATGTAATAATAAAACGTCATCCATATTAGAAACTTATTGGATTTTTAATGAACATTCTAATCAATAATAACCAAAGTTGGTGAGCTCCCAACTGTCTAGTCAAGGTCGTCTAGCTTGACTAGGCAACAGATGAGTGACTCATAATCAATACAGTATATTATTAATATGAAAGGGAGTTGGACGCACTTGTATAGGCCATAGCCATTTAACTTGAATTTATACAAATGGTAACTATAGTTACATCGATGGTCAAATCAATGAAATTGAATAATAAATAAGTACATTCAAAACATGTTGCCCAGTAAAGTGAATCATTGACAGCCTTTAATAGTGCTGGACATAGGCCTCTCCTTAGAAAGGAGGTTTTCGCCTACTATACCACGTTGGCCAGACGGGTTGGTATAGGGTTTGTGTCCAGTTTTCCTTCTCTCTGCAGTGCAGGGAGAAACTACGCAGAAAAATACTGCGTAGTTTTCTCCCTTAGTCGGCTCTTAGGACACCCACGGCATGAATAGGGGTAAAGTGAATACTGTACCTTAACTTTTTTAAGAACACCATAGGAATGAGCTATGGGTAAATTCTTTCTAGACACAAACTAGTGCACGCAGCAATGATTTGGTATTTTAGTTGTTTCCGTGATTTCATCCACTCAGGTTCATTTCAGCAGATTATATCTTTTACCAGGAATAGAGGCATTGTTGTTCATCAATGGTAAATCGCGATCACCTAGCCTTTTCCACTAAATGTAGGTAATGCGAATAGAGATACAACGAGAAGTAAATCCAATTTGACGGCCTTAAACTACGGAGATTTGTATCGATAAGCAACTGTGGCAATACTAGTAATAATATAAAGCAAGGATACGAAAATCTCTTGTATGACTGAAAAAGGTAGAAATCATAAACAACATAATTGGAAATCTAATTACTAGAACTTGATGAATAAAGGAGTGGACTGTGTGTGTTAAGTTTACGGAAGATCAATAAAATTACAACAAAGAACTAGCAAGATGCTCTAAAAAACGTATGACTCAGTATAATTATTGTTGAATTGTTTTGTCTTAAAGACTCGGAAGTAGGTAATTGTTTGGTTAGGCTACATGACCTTGATGGACTCTCGTGGGCACTCTGATGGAACTGTTCTTGTTTTACTACTAGTAAGTAAACATACTAGTAAAATGCAGAATTAAAATTAGTATTTACTATTACATAGTTTGTAAATACGACAATTAAGTGACGTATGTGTGTTCATTCTTGCGAGATATTCCGTTTGGGTTACCAGAGACGGGTCCGGAGTGGTCCGGATGTTTTAACAGTCGGATCCTTCTTATTCTAGGCAGTAAAGCACCCTGTTTGGTGTTGTTCTCTACTTGGCTCTTTTTCAGGGTACTGTAGCTACTAGGTGCGAGTACATGTATCAATAATTATAAAAAATGTCAAAGTAATCTATACAAATAAATAAAATTGAAGTGTCTGTTTGTAATGTCAAAATAATAGGTTTTTGAAGTAAAACTTCTTCACTCGCTTGACTTGGGGAGTTAGCTGGTGAATGCGTGACAAGGGCGTTGCGAAAAGTGTGATCTTGCGAGGCGAACGGAAGTTGAGAGGGAATATAAGTTAGTGAAGATAGAAAGAGAGAGTTACGTTTATTACTGTAGGGGCAAGAGAGAGAGGTGCTAGCACACATTTTCTTTATCTCTTTCTCTCATAGCCAAGAAATTTTACTTCAGTCGTGTGGTCCAAAGCACACTCGTTTTATTCTTCATGCTCACACGGTTATTTGCACGATACCTATTCCTAAAAACTAGTGTATTTTTTTGTCTGTATGTCTGTTTGTACCGGGTTTGCGGGTACCAGCATGTTGAAAATATAAACGCTTAATATTGTAGTGAAGTAATGATTTCGTTCGTATCATTGTGACGACCGGAATGTGGTATGTGTAACGGACTGCTATTCCAAAGGTCGCGGTTTCGATTCCCGCTGAAGTCAAACATTTGTGTGCATGAACTTTTAATGTTTGATTTAGTCTGGGTTTTTCTATGTGTAATATGTATGTATTTACAAAAAAGGATATACGTATTTATATCAGTTGTCTAGTAGCCATAGTACAAGCTCTGCTTAGTTTAGGCGTTGTTAGATGGCGTTGTGTGAATATGGTAGAATATTATTATTATATATTACTATTGTGATTATTGTGATATTTTTAAGTAAATTACAATATAGTATTATCCTTGTACATAATTTATAAGGCAAAAAGCGTTTCCTTAAAAGATCCAATTTGCACCAGAGATCGAAAAACTTTTTCAAAAACTCATTTTCATAAAGTACTTCGTATAAACATTAGTCGAAGTACAATAAAAAAATCAAGGCTGTATGATTAACTTTTTTCGTCTTATAGACAAGAAATAGACCATTCGACGTCGCTTTTTTATGATTAATTAAATAGTAACTAGTAAGTTTTACATTTAGACCAATTTCCGAGTTACGACATTTCCGTTTTCTGCCGTCGATATGACGTATTAACACGCTTTTAATAGTTTCATTTCTAACTAACATAAGTTTGTAAATTGGGAGTTGATTTTTACCTACTTTTTCGAAACAAAATGAAACTTTTAAATGTGTAATTTAAACCATACTATATTTTGGGATATTAGGGCGGATCTTATAATAAAAATGTGGAAAATGTGCTTTTTTCCATATTTTAATTTAATTCGCTTTCACTATGTGTTTTTTACTTTTACTTAAGTATAATTATTTATTATTAGGTGGTAATCAAGCGGTGTATAAACGTCGTTATATTACAAGGTCAGTAATATGCGTGTTTATAGCATACTGTTCCATATTCTATTGCGTGTTTAGACAAAGTTCGAAAAACTGTGTCACTTATTCTGATCATTCACACTAAACACAAAACAAATATATTAATTATTATTGACCTGTCTTTTTTATGGAAAAAATACCTAGATTTATCAGAACAGCCCATAAATACTTAGATCATACTCCAGAAAAAGTAATAAACTAAATTATTAAATACGTTAATTAAGTATTGTGTGTGTTAGTATTATTATCACTTATTGTATATGTATTATTTATTAAAAATATTGTAATGTAATACACAGGACAACAGCACTGCAAAGAGAAGGAAAACTTGAAACAAACCCTATACCAACCCGTCTGGCCAGCGTGGTATAGTAGGCCCAAACCTCCTTTCTAAGGAGACGCCTATGTCCAGCAGTGGACAATTAAAGGCTGTTGATGATGATGATATGTTTCTAAGGAACTTTGTTTAATTTCCAACGTTTTGTGTGTCCAAAAGTCGCGACATGACCTAAGACGGCTATGACAACGGTCCAACCGAACCACTGTACAATATAATAAAATAAGCAAAAACAATTGCATGATTAAGGAAACGGTCTCTCAGCCATTAGATGACCAAGTCCACTTTAATTCTTAGAGGTTGGGTGACCAAGCGTTTGTAACCTTGGAACAGTTTAAATTGATTGTGAAATAACTCTGAAACAAAGAAGCAATTTTCTGGTGACGGATTCAGGTAATTGACCGCAAGTCTTGGTGCTGTATGGTAATGGTACTGTGTTTTATTACCTGCGTTGTCTTGATTTGACTGGCCTGTTGGCGTAGTGGTTCGCGATACTCACTTCTAAACCAGAGGTTGTATTTTTGTGTCTGGATGTCATTCATCTATATGTTTGTATTTAGAATATATATGTATGTTTATCATCTGTCTGATTACCTAATTTAGAATTAGACAGCCGTGTGTGAGTTATTATTATTGAATATTAAAGAATTTTTTGTAAAGAATTTGAATATTAAAGTATTTTGACATTGTAGGCATTAGAGTTACACTAGTTAGCTATTGAACTACCCACATATTTTTACGTTTGTATGTGGGTCGTCCACGTGTTTGTACGTCCAGTCCATATCCCCAAGCCCCTCTTGGACGATCTTCAACATTATATAATAATATAATAATAATATATTCTACCACATACACACAACGCCATCTAGTCTCAAACTAAGCAGAGCTTGTACTATGGGTACTAGACAACTGATATAAATACATATATACTTTTTTTTGTAAATACATACATATTATACATAGAAACACCCAGACCAAATCAAACATCAAATGTTAATGCACACAAATGTTTGACTTGAGCGGGAATCGAACCCGCGACCTTTGAAATAGCAGTCCGTTACACAAACAACTACGCCATCCAGTCGTCGCTAAGTCGACATGAAGAGCTTATACTTCTTTAAGAAGTCAGTTTAAAAGTTTAATTTGGAAATATTTTAATACCACAGCCAGTGAGTCATACTGGGGACGGCGTACGACAATTTGACCATATGCAGATAAAAGTTTGAGGACGGCACTGTTTTGTGACTATTTTATTTATACATAATAGTTTAATTTCTTATTATATAGGACAAAGTGGATTTAGCTCTATATTAAAAAACAAG